GGTGGGTCCTGTCTAGCTCGAATCCGGATTAATCGGTGACCCAATAAACTTTCAGATATGGGGTGATCCATACAAAAAAAAAATCATTAAAATATAATATAAATATAATTAATTTAATCAATTTTTATATCTTATATATATGATTTTATCTTTAAATTTATTTATCTATAATTATATAAAAAGTAATAATTTTTTAATAAATATATTATATAATGTATTAAATTAAAAATTATAACAATCCGTATCCTACTACTCTAGAGTTTTTGTGTTCAATTTTTATGTACTGAAGGCACTACTTTTCCGCAAAAGTAAGGAATCTAGGGTTTTGAGGGTCAAATTATAAGAAATAGTCTTATAAGGAGACTGCTAAGAGCCATGTTTTTCAATTGTTCTAGATAACTACTAAGCTCTGGAAATTTTTTATTACTCTCCTATGCTTAGTCCAATTACGATTGATAATCACTTTGATTACTTACATTTTTCATTTTTCAAATTTTATATTTAACTTTTCATCTTTTGACATTGTTCATTCAATGATAATAAACTTAAATTTTACGTGAAATATGATTAAAATAATTAACATAAATTGTCAATATTGTTTTTTTTTTTTTTTTTGAACAGCAAAGAAAATGTATATTATCAAACTGAGTACAAGGGGTACTCAACCCATAAAGTTATACAAAGTAACAGTCATCCAATGTTAGTTCCCTATTTTAGATCACTTTTCAATTAATCCCACCCCTATTGCTAGACAAACATGCTGTAGGATTAATTAACCAATCTGAAAGAGAAAAGTAACACTTGGGTTTTTTTGCTTTAATCCATGCGAATGATCTCAGTTGAATAAGATCTAGCAGCTGACCCATATTAATTTCTGTATCCTGGAATATTTTGCGATTTCTTGCCATCCATACTGTCCATATGACAGTATTCCAGATGCAATCCCAACCTTCTGCTATGTGTGGGTCTTTGATCTCATTCCCGAATTGGTCAAAAGTGTTGCAGCAGTCTTCCTTTAATGCTATCGTGGTCCCCCACCATCTACTACAAGCTTTCCAAAGCCATTTACTTAATTTGCAATTTAGAAATAGGTGGCTGGTGTCCTCATACTCCTCGCATATACCACATTTTGCCTCTTCCATGTCCTTGATAACTCCTCTTCTATGTAGATTAACTTTGGTAGGAATTCTGTCAAGTATTACTCTCCAATTGAAGGCAGCTATCTTGCTTAGAAGCATTGGATTCCATATTCTCTTTGACATTTTTGCTTCCTTCGATCCCGTCTATTCTTTTGTCAACTTCAAATAAGCCATTTTTGTTGAGTAGAGACCATCACTGTTGTGAATCCATTGCCATTTGTCAGGGCGTCCAGGAGTGATCTTCACGTTGTCAAGTATCCCTTGGAGTTTCATAGTGTCCTCTTTTTCCCACTCGAACAAGGTTCTTCTCCATGAAAGATTCCATTTCCATGTACCATCTTGAGTATTACCCATTTGGTAGCATTCTTTGTCTTTTCCTGTTGACAAAAGGTATAATCTAGGGAAAATGTTAGCAAGACATCCCTCCCCACACCACTCATCCCACCAAAAACTCACTCCTTTACCTTCTCCTATCCTTAATCTAAAACCATCTTCAAGCCATCCTACATTCTCTCCATCTCTATTATTGAGGTTGCATACATCCCTCCACCATAGTGAACCCATTCCTCTATCGTCTCTTACCCAATCCATCCAATTACCTCTTCCTTCGCTATATTTTCCTTTGATTACCCTCCTCCACAACCCCTCATCCTTGGATGCTAGACGTCCCCACCATTTTCCCATTAATGCTAAATTAAATCTCCTCATGTCCTTCACCCCTAGCCCGCCCCACTCTTTATTTTTACAAACCCTCTCCCAACTTACCCAATTTATTTTCCTACCCTCCCTTTCTCCCCCCCCATAAAAAATTCCTATGCATTTTATCAATGGATTTTAGAATACCTGAGGGAATTCTGTATATCGACATCAGGAAAACGGGCAGACTAAACAGTACAGAATTAATGAGCATGATCCAGCCTCCAATAGAGAGATGTTTTGCTTTCCAGCTAGTTAACTTCTTTCTAAATGATCGTAACAGTGGCTGCCACATTGCTAACCTTCTATAATTCCCCCCAACCGGAACTCCTAGGTATTTAAATGGAAATTTTCCCTCTTTGCAGCATAAAATGCAAGCCATTCTGTCTTTCCAATCATTATCCACCTCCACACCCAACAGTTGACTCTTCCCAAAATTGATTTTCAATCCTGACGCCATTTCAAAGATTCTCATGATACATTTAACCACCCTTATGTTGTCTTCGGTTGCCTCTCCGAAGAAAATAGTATCATCTGCAAATTGTAGGTGGGACACCATTGTGCTCCATTGCCAATCGTCACTCCCTTGTATAACTCCTTTTCAACCGCAGTAGACATTAGGCCATTTAGACCCTCCGCCACAATTATGAACAAGAAAGGAGATAGCGGGTCACCTTGTCTTATTCCTTTGCCAACAGGAAATTGTCTTGTCGGGGTTCTGTTGATGAGGACTGAGATCATACTTGATCGTAAGCATTCTTGAATCCATCCCCTCCAAATGATATTAAATCCCAATCTGAACAGCATGTAATCAATGAATTCCCAACACACCTTGTCGTATGCTTTTTCGAAATCAACTTTGAATAAAAAGCTTTCCATATTTTTCTTTTTCGCCTCATCTATCACCTCATTTGCTATGACTACTCCATCCAAATTGTCAATATTGTTACTTTTGCATGTGTATAGATGCAAAATATTTCCTTAAATTAAAAAACATTCCAACTTAAAATTTTTAATTTTAATTGAAAATAAATGTGTCACCTTTTTGTGGTTGTGTTTATGATATGTAACTTTTGCATTTAATTCAAGTGGAAATTGTTTTGAAAGTAAGTATATAGTTCTTATGAGCTCAGCCGGACGTTTACTTTAATTTGTATTTTATGGATTATAGTATCCTTTATACTTTTTTTCATCAATAATAATTAATTTTTATCGATAAACAAAGAAATCAATGTGCTAAGCTAAGAGGGAAGCCATACTTTGTTTGGGGTCATGAGTCAAATACAGATTTGCGCGGTGCAATTAAATTTTTTTTTTTCCTCGGCAAACTAACGTAAAATAAATCAGGCAGTCAAGAGGCAATCTCAAAACACTTTTTTAAGATCCCATAAATCAAATACTAGGCGAAACGAAAAAAACAAAAGCAAAGAAAAATCTCCAGAAGGATATAAAAAATGTAGGATGCCAGGCTTTCAAACGCCTTCCTTTGCTCCTGATGATAGAAACGGGATCAAGCCGCCAAGAAAAAGCTTGAATTAACACACATTTTTTATGCGGGCTGCCTCATGCCACTTCGAAGATAATCTTTTAATACCAAAGAATTTCCACACCACCAAAGACCACAACATGGCGGTGCAATATATATAATTATATATAATCCATGCATCCTGATTTATACAATGAATCAACCTTTCCAACTAAAATTAATTAAGGAAATGGAAATACTAAGCATCAATAGACCAACAAGACTTTAGCCAAGTTGATATTTATTTAAGTAAGAATAAAAATTAAGATGTTTTGATACTTTAAATATCAAAATTTTATGTAAAATTATTAAATAAAGTTATATTGTTGTACTCTAAATAATTAATGTTATATTTTTTTAATGTAATTTCTATTATACTTTTATATTACACTTTTTTTTTAAAAAATTTTATATTTTATATTTTTTAATAAATTAAAAAATATAATGGTCAACTAGGATAAGGTGTGCCTTTAGTAATAACAAATGTGGCAATAATATCACTTGAAATTATTTAAATATTCTCAATGAATCTTTTTTGTTTGTTGATTCATTAATGATATTTAAGTTTTTTCATTACCAATCTTAACATTTTCATTACCAATAGTTTCTGGAGTGTAGTATGGTCCGATGGATATAGATGGCTTGTGCAAAATGGTGGGGTATTAATGTTACTTTGGGAGCGGACTGCTGGAATACCTTTCAAGTGGCTGGAAGAGAACTAAAAGAGAAAGGTGTTAGAGAAGGGTGGGATTGCATTTGGAATTCTCTTGTGTGGACAGTGTGGCTGGCTCGAAATCAAAAAACATTTCAAGGCAAAGAGATTAACAGGGAGAAGCTGCTGGAACTCATCCAATTAAAATCGTTCCATTGGATCACAGCAAAAAAAGAAAGGTACGCCTTCACTTTAACGGATTGGTTTCTTAATCCAGTGGCATGCTTGGAAGATGGCTGTAGGAAGAGAAGGGTACCATATAAATAATATGTGGGAGGGAGGGTATTGCTGATAGTTGGAAGGCTATTTGAGTTTTGTTTTGAAGGATTAAGGTGCTATGTAATGGGGACTCATGTAGGATTATTGAGCAATCATTGACTGCAGTGGAGTTCAGCTATAGTCAATGCATGATCAATAGCTTGTGGGTCAGTGGGTGTGTCGGGTGTGGGTTGTGGTCCTAAACAGGGAGATTTCTTGAGAATGCAAAAGAGAGCAGATTTCCCGTCACGGGTGTAGTGTCGACACTTCTTCTGTGGTGTCGATACCTTGCGTTAACTTTTTGTTATCCATTGATTTGGAGTACTCCTTGTATTCCGCTTATTAATTAATAATAGTATGTTTGCTGTTTAAAAAAAAATCTTAACATTTTAATTACCAAAATATTTTGATTCTCCTTAATTCCTTTATTAAGGTTTAGTTTGTTTAATTTATTAGGACAACAACTAATTAATACCAAACCAGCAGACATACTATCGTAAAATTTAGACTTCACAATGCCTGCATAGTGAAATGCAACAATCTGCTGCAAACCCACGGAGTCCTGCACCATTGTGAGAAAGAAAAGGAAACATCTGCTCTAACACTAATCCATTGATAAGATATTGCCTGCTCCTCACCCAGCATTTTTTGCACATTTTTTTTTTATCAGCAAAACAAATGATCTATATTAATCAGGAGTATGAGAAATACCCCAAAATGGAATTACAACTATCAAGTAAAAAGTGCAAATGAAAACACAGGAAAACACACTTGCAGCCTATCACCAGCCTCTAGAAGTTGACGATTTAGCACTAGAATCAGCTACACTTACGTACAAACAAACTCATCCCCCATCTTGCTGCCGCATTTGATATATTTTCCAGTTGCTACGATACTGCAAAATTGCTCCCCTGCACTCCATTGGACTTGAGACCCATTCTTGGTATGAAAAAACACTCCCTTTCTCTTTATTTTTAAGCCATAAAAATGATTTGTGTTGTATATACTCCAAAACTAACTCCTCAGACAGCAACTTTGTTCCAAATGCCTGCATATTCCTCCGGAACCAAATAAACCAAGAAACAATCAGAAAAATGAAAGCCCCTAAATCTGCCCAACAACCCCCACTAATACCATGCATCACGAACTCTGCCAATCCAAAGATGTCTTTCGACAAAACACCCTGTAATCCCCACCATCTCAAAATCTTCATCCACACTAACCATGCTCCTTTACACTCACAAAAAATATGATTCACCTGATCCACTCCCTCCCCACATAAACCACAACTCACATCCCCCCCCAGCAATGCAATCCCTCTCTTAAATAGATTATCCTTCGTTGCCAACCTATCCAAAAATAACCGCCACCCAAAAACACTCACTTTAGACGGAGCTAACTTACACCAGACGATTCTCACCCATTTCTC